GTTCACCGTGAAAGTTCAACAGATTTCGTGTGAAACAATACGTTTTCCTTGACCAAACAGACACTTGATACAACATATATGTAAATACCGTTACGTTAATGGAGAATATTTCTAGGGACGTAATTACTGATTCTTATCAGTGATAAGTAAGAAAACATGAAGTAAAATTTGAATACAAACTATAAAAATAATAATATATAAAATTTACAAAAAAATATTGCATAGAGTGTAAAATATAAAAAAATATTGCATAGAATATAAAACGAATATTGTGTAGTACTCGGTGTCCACATAATATCAGTAATCGTCAAAGTGTTCCTTATCTTATTTCAGTGTATAATCACTTTTGACCGCTTCGTATTGTATTTCTAATATCTACATAACTATAGTGCACGATAATGGTCGCAACAATTCCCGTATCTCAGATACACCGATCTACGAGATACTACTTTTAATCAGTATTAATCAGCACCAATGAAATGCCTTTACTATTCTAACGTTACTATTAATCGTATAGTATAATAATATTGTATTATACCACAATGAAAAATAATGTAAGAATTGTATGTAGAAGCTAATCGTAAAGCTACGTAACTCTTTATGTTTTTTGGGGGATCGATAAAAAAAAAAAAAGAGAAATTTTGAATATTGAAATTAACGAAAGAAAAAGGAACGACGAGAAAATGCACGTTTAATTCAATTGGTTAGCTACAAACGTTCCCCATTTTCGGGAACAGTTTATCGAATTACGATCGAGAGCGCCGAACGATCCATTGATCGCTCCAATTTTGATTGTTTACAGTAACAAGTGCCTTAACGAGAAAAGACGACGGCACGAGGAGAACCTGTACATCGACGAGCTTGCCGAGCTGATTTCCGCCACGGACATGAGCTCTGGCAAGACTGACAAATGCCAGATCCTTCAGAGAACTGTCGACCAGGTAAGAATACAGATTTTTACTACCTTCCTGTCTTTCAAATTTGCTGATCGATAAACTCACGCGTGGTACGTCTGATAAAATCCTAGATTACACGTTAAATGTATGTTATATTCAACTAACGCACTCTACAATGCTAAGTGTAACATATTCTTATATCTACTGATTACCAATAATACAGATTGATAAGAAATCGGTAGAAGTGTACAAGTTTGGCTTTAATGGAATAAATATGCTTATCCCGCGCGATTGTTTATGTTGCTCGATTGAAATGTACAAGACGTACTCACATATATGTACGTGATAAAGTGTCGGTTGAAATTACCTTTCTGTATTTACAATGAAATTCTGCATATTTTGGACCGAACAGGAATGAACATTTTTTCAAATTAAGACGATGTTTTGTTTTATATAAAAAGCAATTTTTTTGCACAGTTTTATAGAGCATAAAAGCTATTAAATTTGTTTATATCTATTATGGTTTCCAAGATATACAGGAAAATAGGGAAACACACATTAACCCTTTAAGGGATGTTTTCACACTGAAGCATCAAAAAATAGCGAAGACGTTAATTTTATGATACTTCTACTGAGATCTTCTACCAATCTGCAAAGTTTAAACAAAGTCTGAATTTTCGAGTTACCGAAGTTCCTTTGTCAGTGAGTCCTTCGAGATCCTGAAGAATTAAAAAAATAGTAAAAAAAGAAAATTGTTCGATACTTCTATTTGAGTCTCCTACAAATCTGCGAAGTTTAACAAAGAAATAGGAATTTTCGGGTAACCCAAGTTCCTTTGTCAGTGAGTCCTTCGAGATCCTGAAGAATCAAAAAATAGTAAAAAAAGAAAATTGTCCGATACTTCTATTTGAGTCTCCTACAAATCTGCGAAGTTTAACAAAGAAATAGGAATTTTCGGGTAACCCAAGTTCCTTTGTCAGTGAGTCCTTCGAGATCCTGAAGAATCAGAAAATAGTTAAAAACGAAATTGCTCGATACTTCTGTTTAAGTATCTATCCTACATATCTGCGAAGTTCAATAAAAAAAAGTGGGAATTTTCGGGTAACCCAAGTTCCTTTGTCAGCGAATCCTTCGAGATCCGATCGAAGAACGTCGTTTTTTTTTACGACGCATTGCCACATGCTGCGTAACAGAGTGATTCGTTTCCTTTTCCCTTGCGAAAAGGATGCGAAAGACAGTCTCCTTTGAAATATACTTTACTACGTGTTTAGCAGTTCACTTTGTTCTTTTTTTCTTTTCTTCATACTTGTTACTATTATTATACGTTTTATATCCTTCATTTTACCTTATTTATTCTTGGTTGCGGTATTATTAATAGCGATGCGACGGTTCAAATGATATTCTTAATCTATGGTATACTAGAAGCTGTATTTTCTTTTTACTTTTTCATTCTTTTTTTATTTTCTGCTTCATTTAACACAATGCAAAGCTTAAAGCGTAATTGAGTTCGTTGTTTTTTCTTCAAGAAAAAAATCCCCATTATTGAATACAGGTGGGTGTTGGTGTTATCGATCGAAGGATATGTTTTATTTCTTTTCTGTTCGCATCAAACGATGTAAAATGCAATTAAAATATTATGTAAAAGTTGCAGCCTGAAAATAGTAATTTTTGGTATTATTTCATTGCCACTTGAGACACTGTGTTTCTTTTCTCGTGGTATTTGCAAATCTATTATCACCTGAAGACTTTGACTGCTTTAAAATTTCCACTTTGATGACATTCTTTTGTATTGTACTATAGTTACTGGCTTATAATTATTACTCGAAATAAAATAGGCAAATCGCTTCTCTGTTGATAAAACTTAGCAAATTTTCATTTTAAAATAACTTCCTTTTTTTTCAAATTATTTCTAAGATAATGTATCCAATGTTGTGATAAGTGAAAAATAATTACTACGACATTTACTCTGATTCGCTTATTTTGTAATTTTTTTTTCCGTCATTATGTGATAAAGATTAAATGAAAAAGAACAAACAATAGGAACTATTTTTATATTTGACAAAAGAGATGTGCAACAATAGTACAAAGAAAATATTCGTTCAATGCTGGATCATACGTAATAAGAAAGAATTCTTATCTGAATTCGATACTATGCCAGATAAGGTCCAGATATCTGTTAATCTATCTAGTGCATTGATACGATCTTCCATTCATTTAAGAAACAAATTTTCTTTCCCAGTTATAACCTGTCTACTCTAATTTTCTTCATATTTTTACTACAATTTGGTAGTTTCTCAATTGTTACAGTCAAACGAAAAAATTTGTCCATATACATAATTAAAATTCTCAACATATCTATACATTAAATTCCTGAATTTTAATTATCATGCACGAACAATTCCTTCAAATCAAATTTTCTTAAAGGTTCATGTACGTTTCTCGGCGCTAAAAGGTGGTCAATATTTGTGAGTGAGTGATTAACTCTGCGTATTTTTCGTAGGCATGGTAGTTTTATTGGTCGGAATTATTTTTTGATAGTGCGCACTGGGTCAGTTATTGCCGAAAAATCGTATAAATTTTATTCAAATGAGTTTGCTCAAGCTGTGTGCATATTATTATTATTTTTTCCCCGTTTCTGCAGGCAGAGGGCGTCCACAGAGCGTTTAGAAGGTAAAAACGCCGGAATATCCCGAGAGTTAAATTCCTTTTTGTATTATAAAAGTACACGTTTACAGAGTAGAGAGAGGAATGGAAAATCGAAAATTATTAGAAATATACGGCTTCTACTGTAACTTCGTCAATAATTCCAATTTCGAGTTCACTTTAGGCTTCAAATATTTCTACAATCTTCTATTTAAAAAAAAAAAAAAAATATGCAAAACAAAAAGTTGACTTTTTGAAATCGAGAAACATCTTGTGGTACTTATAAATTTTTATCAATAATTTTCCACTACTTGATCACCATTTTCACCGCAAGTGTGTACGATCCCTCTCTCGTTATCTTTATCAGATAAAATATCGTGTCCAAAGCGGCGCGGAACGAGCTCTCGTGTTAAGGAAGGAGAAAGGAAAAGAAGGAGCCGCGGCGATGCGGGATTTATTCTTACGGCTGCGTAAAACGGCGAAGCAGTCACAGGCTTGTTCTCGTGGTGTTTCGCAACCGTTCGTTCGTTCGATTTGATGTAAATTATTCGTGAACGTGGCAAATCCTGCCGCGATCGAACGGGACGCGTTTACGCGAGGCATTTCGTCCAAGAGAGGCGCGTTTCTTTGTTTCGCGTGGAAAAAAGAGCCGCGCAAGTAACAATCGCCGCGTTTCAATCTCGCCCGCTGGTGGTGATTCATCGAATCCGTGAAAAACGTGGACAGTTCTGTTCGTGAATTCGATTACAGCTGCCGTTTCTTATTCCGCGGGAAATTATTCTGGAATTAACGTGTGACGCGTTTTGCACGAGCTTTACGTCTCTTGGCGTTATTCTTGAAGTGGTCGATCGATAGGGTATTTACTCGCGTATCGTTTAAGTGAAATAAAAATTCCAACGCATGCGTTGAATTTTACATTGATTTGCTCACACATATTTAACGAACGCATCTGCTTTCCTTTCGTTAAATTTTTCTTATTTAATTTTTGCTTTCTCGTCGAATGTCAGAAACACTTTGTTTCCGTTTCAACTGTAATAATGTTATTAGTGACGATTGTTGGGGATTGTTTTCATACAATCCAATATTTTTTAGAAATTGCAAGGTCCGATTTTTGTTGGGTTTAGCGGGAAATTCGTGACAATTTTTAAGTAAATAAGTAAATGCCACACTTTAAAGCCATCGTTTCTTTATTTTAGAAGATATGTACTGTTTTCTATGACTTTTCGTCGTTTTCCAGTAATTTGAAAATTCCATTTTGCCAAAAAGTTTGTTTTTGCTGTTTTCTTTAACTCTGCTATTCACTATCTTCAATTCAACTACATATACACTTATGGTTTTTGGGTCGAAAATGACCCGAATACGCGAAATTCGTATTTTCAACCAATAAACTATAAAAAAAAATATAGAAATATGCAACCACACTTTTAAATACACTTTTACATATAAATTGTGACCATTTTTGTCACCTTTTGTTTTTATTCAATGCTATGAAATCCTTCACAGGATTATTAGCATTTTTCTTTTGTCACCTTAATGTGCTTTTACTATCAGTTTTATCACAAAAATGGCATCTACCCCTTTCTCTTTAATTGAGAATATTTGATTCCTGCATCTGTTCTTTTTCTTCTTCTACCTTTGCTCATTTTTTTTTTAATGATGTTTTATGCTTGTACAAGATACAAGATGCTTCTTAGATATGAAAATTGAAATTGAACGGGTTCCGTCCGAGGGATTACCTGCTCTGAAGCGATTCGGAGTAGGTTGAAATGCTCGGAAACGTAACGGCGATATCTCGGAGATTAAATAAAATAATCACTCCTCGGCTCTCTATATTTTATGTAATACATAATTTTATCGCGATAAGTATTTTATCAAAACAGGACTTTGTACTACATCTTCGGAACCGTTTCCATCTTTTTCGTTTTCGTACATCTTGAAGTTTCGTTAAAAATAATTAATTATTTGGAAATACAGCATCTAAGAATTCAGCAAAAATTTTATAAACAAAGCTTCGAAGACAAAGGTATAAGTTAGTATTTTTTATTTACGAGCAAGTAGAAACGTCGTTACTCAAAATATTTTTGGGGCTTTATTTTGGAATATTTTATTTACTTTAGTTTATTTTCTGTTTATTCGTAATTAAAATTTTTAGCAATGTATGTCCTTACTTTGTTACATGCAAATAATCGTACTTACGCTAAAAATAAATTCGCCGAATATTATGATCTCTTGTCTTGCTAGAATAAAAATATTTTATTTACTGAAATTTCGCTTTCTATTGAAAATAGCATTTCATCCCAACACTGTAGCATGTATTATTTAAAATATTACAGTATTTCAAATATTTTTTCTCTAAAGGAGGATGTTATAAAAAGACCAATTTTGGCATACGGCCGGGACGA